TCGATATAATGAAGGCCTTCGATTCTGTGAACTGGAGATATTTGTTCATTATGATGAAAACTATAGGGTTTCCAGAGAAATTTTTGTTATGGATTAGAAACTGCCTTCAAACCGCTCACTACAGTTTTAATATAAATGGTAGTCTGTGTGGTTTTTTTCGTGCTAAGAAGGGAGTTAGGAAGGGTGACAAGGCTATTCACTATTGCCATGGAGGGCTTATCCACACTTCTGAGAGAAGCTAGTCTTTCAGGGAGGGTGCCATTTCATCCTCAATGTAAGAGAGTTGAATTAAATCATCTCTGTTTTGCTGACGACCTCCTCATATTTACCAAGGGGCCTGCTCAGGCAATTGTTCAGGTAAAAGAGGTTCTTCAACAATTCTATAAGGTTTCTGGGCTCAACTGTAACCCGGCCAAGTGTGAAATATACTTTGGTGGAGAATCTGTGCAGTATAAGAGCAATGCACTTGATCTTTCAGGGTTTCAGGAAGGAAAATTGCCAGTTAGGTATCTGGGGCTGCCTCTACTGGCAAGTAAGCTCTCTTCCTCAGAAATTGACATCCTAGTGGACAAAATCACTAAGCGCATCAGATCATGGAGAGCCAGGAAACTTACTTATGCAGGGAGGCTCCAGCTCCTGAACTCAGTGCTTATTGGTATTGTACAATATTGGATTCAATTGTTTGTCTTGCCTAAACTTGCTTTAAAGAGGATTCAAAAAATCTGCTCGCAGTTCTTATGGCATAGTGTTACAGAAGGCAAGGCAAAGGTGGCTTGGGAGTTTATTTCACTTCCTAAACAGGAAGGGTGTCTGGGTGTGAAGGACTTAGGGGCTTGGAACCAGGCGTGTTGCATTCGATTACTTTGGTTGTTTCTTATGAACTCTGGGACCCTTTGGGTGGCGTGGATGCATGAGTATAAGTGCAGGCATCTTGACTTGTGGTTGTTTAGGGTGCAGTATAGCAGCTCATGGGCCTGGAGGAAACTTTTGAAGCTTAGGGTTGTGATTTCTCCCTGGATGAAGATGCAAAATGGTAAAATCTATTGGGATTCGAAGGAAATGATGGTCTATTCTATCCGAAGGGTCTGGGAAACCTTGAGGCACAAAGCTCCCAAAGTAGCCTGGTACAGTCTGGTCTGGGGCAGGAATTGCCCACCACGTTTTAGCCTGATTGTCTGGCTGATAATTAAGAAGGCTATTATCACAAGGGATAAATTGTAGAGATGGGGCAAAATCAGTGATGCTTCCTGTCAGCTATACAGCTCATCAATTGAAAGCAGAGACCACTTGTTTGTCCACTGCTCCTACGCGAAGTGTCTTGCTGACGAACTGAAATGTAAGATGTTGCTGCAATCAGACTGGGAACAGACGTTGAATGCGATGATACAGGTTGGTAGCTCAAGAACAAGAGCATGTCATGGTCTGATCTGGTGCTTGCTAGTGACGTACATATGGAAGGAGCGGTGTGGCGTAGTTCATGGAGCTCAATGTCGTCCCCCTGCTCAGGTGGCTGACTTGATTCGTGATGATATGCAATTTATTGCTTATGGGAACAGAGGACACAGAGATACATTAGTGGAGCTAGGTTACTTATAGAAAGGCTTTCTTTTTCTGTTTCTAGTAGTTGACTAGATTCATAGTTGCTGATTGAAGTAGGAGTTGTCGTTTTGATCGAGATTTTTTCTCGCCTCGTTGTATCGGTTTACTTGGAATAAAAGCAACTGATTCAACGAGAAAAAAAAACCTACTAGTTAAAAAAAATGTTTAGAAATATTTGTTTGCTTTACAATTGTTGGTTTGAACATGGAGAACTAGTTTTGGCATTGTTATATTTACTTTCTCCAATGGTTTGCTTTAGTCTTATCACTTTGACATATGAGTAGTTTAGCAAACGAAAATCTTCAATCTAACACTATGTTTGGCAACGAGGTGGGTGCAAACTCGAGGAGGGTGCAAATTGAGGTGCAAATTGCAGGGGGGAGCAAATTCAGGAAAGGTGTAAATTGGGGCGTAAATTGTTGTTTGGGAGAAAAAATAGGGGTGTATAAAGTAGGGGTAAATATAATTATTAGTATAAAAATATATACATAAAACTATAAATTGGTGAAAAAAATATATAAATTAATATATTAACCTAACCTTTTACCTTTTTATTTTTATAACAACATAACCTTTACCTTCGCACCAAAACAAAAACCTAACCTTTACCTTTGTCTTCCACTACGGCATTACCCAGCTGCAACATCCAAACCAGTTTCACTATTTCCGCCAATAATTCAACCACAATTCCCCTCACTTCTCTTTTTCTCGGAGGAATAACAAAACGGAAAGCCAAGGGCCGGATCTGATCAATCAGCGGTCTGAATCCTACATGCAATTGTTATGACGACAACAAAGACGGGGTGGGGCGGTATCTACCGGAGGCAGCAGTAATGGAGACAGGGGAGCGGGAGGGCAGAGGCTGAAGCTTTCATGGAGGCGGCAGAGGGGAAAAGGTCGGACGATGAAATCGTTGTTCTATCGCCGGAAACTGGAATTTTGTTCTCCCATTGCAACTGCTACCGGAGAATATTCATTCGTCAAGTTCGCCGGCGATACACGATGAGATAAAAATTGGTTGAAGGAGTAGAGAGGCTGGAAAAATTGGGGGCTTCCTCCTAAATAAAAAATAAAATAAAATTGGGGCAAGCAGCTTGTCCTTTTGGAATTTGCACCCCGAATTGGGGGTGAGGTGAAACAGTTGCTTTGCACCTCATTTATTCACCCCCAATACTGTTCCAAAAGATCCAAACGAGGGTAAATCCCTCGATAACACCATTTTCCCCAGCTTCTTACCCCCCCTCCCACTTACCCCAGCTTCCCAAACATAGTGTAAAGGAGATAATAGATAAAGGGGGAGCCTTGATGCATCAAAGGAAGTATAAATACAAGGAATCAACAAGACAAGTCTCACGGAATGTGGTAGAGAAATCATACACAAAGCAAGATTAAACACTCTATTATTAGCAATAGGTGTCTGAAGTGATAGGAGTTCACTGTCTGTATTGTTTGAGTGATTGTGAGGTTGTGTAATTTCTCTTTTTAGCGTGAGTGCTTGTGTGGAAGAGAGAAAGGGGTATATTGCTCTATTCTTTTCAAGGGTCTGAGTTCGACCCAAAAGGACTCAACTTGGAGTTAGATTGGAACAAGAAAAAAACCTAGGAACTAGGTCTCAAAGGTTAAGCCACATTTGAGCCGAGATATACAGAAATAGGCCAAACTCGGCTAACAAAACATCATGTGTACATGTGTCTCTCCTTACTCTCCTTTATTGTGTGTTTGCTTCTCAACATGAACACTACCTTGTCCATTCAAGGTTGACAACGACTTTATAAGAGCCATAGCCCATCTCATCAAAATCTTGCGTCTTTAACAATGGGTCAAGTCCAACACACAAGTCCAAATGACCGATCTTAACTAATCGTGTTTATTTATCTCATTATATAAGATTATTTATGGGCTACACGTGTTCTACATTGTGGAAGTGGTACCAAAACTGGGATTGGTAGCACGCTTAGTTGCTTGTCGTATGCCTCGTGTCTAAGCTTTGCAAGGAGTGTTGGAGTAGATCTAGCACACTCAGAAGCCTTTCAAAATAAGAAATATAAGAAGCTAGTAGTTTGTTTTCCATTCTCCACATATTGATGACAGGATCAAGGTTCTTCATGGAGGCCCTTGGCATTATGACAATAACATGTTAATCTTTGAAATAACAAGTTACACATATTAATGACACGTGCAAGTATCTGTTTTAGACCCCCGTATTATGCCCAAAGTGCTTAGATTTTCCATCATTATCGTTATAATAAATTGAATTGTTGTTGTGATTGATTCAAGTGCGTTGTAGCAACCCTTGGATTGTTTTTGTATGATTGATGCACTTTTGGTAGCGTTTTTTGCATTTTCAGGGGAAGCTCGGACTTGCTTCATAAAATTCATTTAGTGGACTGGGAGACTATTTGTCGGCCAAAAGATGAGGGTGGACTTGATCTCTGGAAGGCCACAAGAATGAAAGACTTTTATATTTAAAATCGCCCGGAGCTTACTGACGGAAGCAAATAGCTTGTGATCGAGGGTTGTGGAGGCCAAACATCTATAGAAGAGAGGAGACAACTTGATTCCAAGGACTACAGGGCGTTTGTCGAACCTGTGGCATGGAGTTCGTCGTGTCCTGCATCTTATTATTGGGGCTTTGATGTGGAATGTCAGGAATGAACGTAGAACCTTATATTAGGAAGATCTTTGGTTTCAGGAAGGACCCCCATTGTCAGAGTTTGCAATGAATCTACTTTAAAGGTTAACTGTTTTGGAGCAGGTTCTCAACGGAGACTGGAACGTCCCATTTATCCAGACCTTTCTTCCTCATAATGTTGTCCAAGTAGTTCAGTTGCACCCAATACCGTCCGAGAATGAGAGTGATATCCCAATCTGGAGATTTATGGCATCCGTTGAGTTCTCTCTAAGCTAGACTTGTGAGCTTACAGATGAAGAGGAAGTTCCAGCGACTACCGACGACATAAAATATCCTTACTTTTTTCTGGTTTCTAGCCCACCGTCGGCTTCTAACTAATGCGTAGAGGCAACAACTGTAGAGATGGGTTGGAAATAGTACTACATGTTAATAGGGACTATCCCTTTGCAAGGGAAGTGTGGTCCTACATGATGGAGTATTTTTCCAAAGAAGCATGGAACGTTGGATCCATCATTATCTTCCATGTAGGAGCTTGAAGATTGATGCCTCCTTGTTTGCACTTGTGTGTTGGTTATTATGAACGAATAGGAATGCTTATGTCTTCGAGAAAAAGCATGGCGAAACATCGCGGCTCCAGCAAGGGGACTTACGTCTTCATCATCAAATCCGTATGGGCCCGGAGAAGGAGGACAAAGTCCTGATGGAAAGGAGGACTCGACGGCTGGAGATGGTGACATAGACAACTTCGTTGCATGGATGGTTCTATTCAAATATAGATGGATCAGTACTTACCGGCTTTGGTAGCGTAGCGACAGGCGGAGTTATTCGAGGAGATGATGGTTGCCTCGTGCAAGCATTTACAGCTAATCTAGGCGATGGATCAATAACGAGAGCAGATCAGTTGACAGGGATCGCCATGGGCTTGCAGCGTGCTTGGGACGAGGGGATAAGGAAGCTCGAAGTTCAAACTGACTCCAACACAACCCTCGAGCTCATCCAGACTACAACGGCGCAACACCCGCATTACACTATTGTGTCACGGATAAGAAGCCTAGTTGAGAAGGATTGGCAGGTGACTACGAAACATATCTTCAAAGAAGGCAATGCAGTAGCGGATTTCCTTACTTCTTTAGGCCATGAGTGTGAGTTGGGCAAGGATGTGATATCACATCCTTGTTTGAAACTAAATTATTAACTGTACTTTGATATGTTGGGGTGCAACCTCCTCATTTTGTGTTGAATAATTAGGTTGGAGCGCTGTAATGCTCTGTCTATTACAATAAAAAAAAACTTACAGTCAGATTTAGTTGACTGATAGTAAACATTAAAGTGCAAGGCTGCCTTAATATTGGCATCTAAAGAGAAGATACATACGAATGGATCACAATGATTAAGGTAGCGTAGCCGTTCCACAAGTCTAGCCAACCTTCGCCGGGTTGGGCTCATTAAATCTCACGGAGCTTAACTTACAGAGAAAAACCTCCGTAGCCATGATCACCAACACCAACATATACCTCCCCTGTGGAATTAATATCATCACGATCATGCACATACAAGCTTTCATACATATATTAATTCATAAACGAAAACAAGGGTGGAGGCTCTCTTATTACCAGTTGGACGGATGGTGGAATCAGTACTTCTGGCAGCGGCCGTCGGGGAAGCTAGAAGAAGGACCGCGATCATCACAATCAGCAAAACCCTAAGCAAGAATAAGAAATTATTCATACAATAACCCATTTATTTACTTAATGATGTGTATTATTTTATTTGGTAGCCTACAAATTACTTTCAAGAATTCATTCATCCAAATTAATTGAGTTATTCAGAGATTGTTTATTCAAATATAATTAATTGTTAATACTAAAATCCAGTGTTATCAAGACCGACCTGGGCAGTCGGTCGGACCAGTAAAACCGTCACCTGGTCGTCAATCCGAATCGGAACCCTCCAAAAGCCACAGCGGTAGAGGTGTCAATCGGGCGGGTTCGGGCTGGGTTCATTCGGGTTACGGGTTGGTTAGGTTGCGGGTTGTTGCGGGTTGCGGGTTGATCGGGTTGCGGGTTACTCGAGTTACGGGTCAATCGGGTTACGCGTCAATCTGGCTACGGGCCAATCGGGTTGCCGGCCAATCGGGTTACGGGTCAATCGGGAGCGGGTCAATCGGGTTGCGGGTCGGGCGGTTCGGGTTGTGGGTTTTACGGACCAAAACATCGCGTTACGTTTTAGTGATTACTAGTAAGTCGTAAATCGTAACTATATGAAGCTAGCACAATACTTGTCAAAAAAAGGAATCACTACTCAAAGTCAAAGACTCAAAGGTGGTGGGAAACAAAATTTTGGGGAAACATTACAAGGGGAATTATTGGCGGGTCTCGGCAGGTGGGGGGAATCAAATTTTTGGGCAGTAGTATTGGGGGAACCCAAAATATGGAGAGAAAAGTTTAAAAATAGTTTTTTAATTTTTTAAAAACAAATGAAATTGTTCATATAAATGTATAGAGAAATTGTTGGTTTAGCTAGTTAATTTTTTATATGATTTTTGTATTAAATTGAATTATAAAATTTAGAAAAATTGTTGTGAGTTCAATTGTGACTTTACTCGATAACATATACTCTAAACTCTAAATAGTCTATACCCTGAACCCCAAATGATTTTATTCATGAACATGTGTTAATAAATAACCTGATCCTTATTATTTATGATTTTGATTAATCTTGGTTAAATCATTAATAGTTTCATGTGATTAACGCAAATGCAAGCCATGTCACGCCAAAACATTCATATTTACGCATAAACAGACAATGTCACGCCGAAGTAGCTTTATTCACGAAAACTTGATAGCCACTCACGCCAATACTATCTTATTCACACATTTATCTCCGGACACGCCAATGACAATCTGATTACGCCAATACTATCGTATTCACAGAAATAGATCTCCATTCACGTCAATATTCATCTTATTCACGCACATTCATATACAGACGCAAAACTAAATAATTTACGCAAATGCATAACCATTCACGCCAACACTATCTGATTCACGACAACACTATAATCTTCACGCAAATGGATCTTCATTCACGGCAATACCCATCTGATTCACGCACATTCATAAACAGACACGCCAAAACTATGATTCAAGCAAATGTTTCACCATTCACGCCAACACTATCTGTTTCACTTAAATGGATCTCCAATCACGCAATTACCTATCTGCTTCACGCAAATGCATCACCATTCACGTCATTACCCATCTGATTCACGCACATTTATGTACATCCATATTCAAAGAAGATTAAGGAAAAGTTCTCTTGTCTTTAGAGGAGACAACACAACATTTAAAATTATAACCATTTAAATTTACGCGTGTCTTTGGTGTTTTGTCTCTAGATGTGCCAAAATATCAAGTTCAACAACACATTCACGAGTTAAAGTGCAATACCCACACTAACACTACTCAACTATGAAAATGATTTCCATAACAAAGATTCAAAATCCTCATGTATTAAGTTCTCTCCCCAAATACTCACACTTATCGCTTTAGCCATTCATGCTAATGCTATATGTTTTGCACAATCTAACAATATACGATTCAACACTATGTGATTCTAATGCTATATTGATAGAAACCATTTCAAGCAAATTACCCTGACACGTCAACACTATGTGATTCATGCCAACATTATATGATTCACGCAAATGAATCGCCATTCACACCAATACCCATATGATTCACGCATATTCATATACAGACACGCGAAAACTAGACGATTCACGAAAATGCATCACCATTCACGCCAATACACATCTGATTCACACACATTTATCTCCGGACACGACAATTATATGATTTACGCAAATGCATCACCATTCACACCAATGACAATCTGATTACGCCAACACTATCGGCTTCACGCAAATGGATCTCCATTCACGCCAATATCTATCTGATTCACGCACATTCATATCCATCTGATTATCACCATTCACGCCAACACTATCTGATTCACGACAACACTATACTCTTCACGCAAATGGATCTTCATTCACGGCAATACCCATCTGATTCACGCACATTCTATACAGACACGCCAAAACTATGATTCACGCAAATGCATCACCGTTCACGCCAACACTATCTGTTTCACGCAAATGGATCTCTATTCACGCCATTACCTATCTGCTACATGCAAATGCATTACCATTCACGCCATTGCCCATCTGATTCACGCACATTTATGTACATCCACATAGAAAACTATATGATTCACTCAAATGCATCACCATTCACGCAAATGCCAATCTGATTCACTCAAATGGATCTCCATTCACGCCAATACCCATCTGATTCTCGCACATTTATCTCCAGACACGCCAAAACTTCATGCAAATGCATCACCGTTCACGCCAATACCCATCTGATTCATGTCAACACTATCTGGATCACGCAACGCATTCTCATTCACATCAACACTATCTGATTCACGCCAAAACTATATGGTTCACGCAAATGGATTTCCACTCACGCCAATATCTGTCTAACTCACGCCAATATCCATCTGATTCACGCAGAACCATACCACCACCAAAATGTACCATTTATTGTTATGATCAGACTTTTGTGAACTATTATTAGTCTTTTTTATGATAGAATCATGATATTTGGATTTTAAATCTTATAATTATCTTACTATGCTAAATTAATATTTTATAATGTTATGTGCACTATTAGGTTGATCATGTATCTAAATCAATATTTGATGATGTTATATGCGTTAATAGGTTGGTGATGTATATTATTATACTAAGTTATTAATTGATGATGTAATGATCAGACTTTAGTGAACCAGGATTTCAAATGTCAACTTATAGAGTTATAGTTTATCTTCATCGAATTCCTTCTATTATAGTCGGGTTGGTCGGGTTACGGGTTCGGGTTAGTCAGGTTGCGGGTTAATCGGGTTGCGGGTCGATCGGATTGCGGGTTGGTCGGGTTGCGGGTCGATCGGGTTGCGGGTTGTTCGGGTTGCGGGTTAGTTGGGTTGCGGGTTGGTCGGGTTGCGGGTTGGTCGGGTTGCGGGTCGGACGGGTTACGGGTCATTGACTTTTAGTAAAACCGGGTTGCGGGTCGGGTTGATCGGACGAGATACTCGGGTCGGGTTACATTTTGACAGCTCTACACAGCGGACAGCGATCATAATGATCGGCTTTTGAGCAGCCGAACCGGAGCGTTTAGTCATTCAAACCATTTGAACCGCCAGACCGGTTTATGATTTCTAACCGTCTGAAATTAAAAAAATATGACAAAAAATCCTGGGTTCAAATTCGACTTAGCGTCAACTAGGGATGGCAATTACCCACCCATGGGTAATTTTACCCAAATCCAAATAGATCCATTTAGTATGGGTAGGGTTTGGATGAAGTGTATATGGGTTTGGGTTAAGTATGAATATTGCTTTCATAATGTAAATGGGCATGGGTTGGATATCGATATCCATTTACTTGAGGGTGTTTTAACTACACACACAAAAATTGGACCTATTTGTAAAACTTGAAAAGTTTAGGTACCAAAATGTAAGACCAAAAAATTTTAGGTACCAAAACGTAAATTTTCATCGATATTTTGAGGACTTATATGCAAAAAAAATTAAATTTAGGTACTAAATCTGCATATGTATTAAGTTTAGGTACCAAACTGTAATTTGCCTTTGGGGATGGGTACAAACCCAAATCCATGTGTTAAAACCCAACCCAACCCAAGTAAATGGGTATGGATACAAATCCATCAAACTCTACCCATCTACCATTTATTTGGAATCCATACCCAACCCAATTGGGTTGGATAGTAAAATACTCATGGGTATGGGCAAAATTGCCATCCCTAGCGTCAACGGTGGCGATTTCCCGAACTCTTCGATATCTCCTCCGGGTTTCGACCAGCAACCCATCAACGAAGCCTCCGGTGAGCTCCCTCTCTCAGTCCCAGTCCTCCTTTTGCTTTCCTCTTGTTGTCTCCAGAGAGAAAGAGGAGGAGAAGTTAGCGCGAAGAGGATAGAGGCAGATCGAGATTTTGAGAGACCAAGTAAAGAGAGTGACAGAGGAAATCGATCCTTTATGGTTAAACAGAGAGGAAGAAATTGAATAGAGCATCAAACAGAAGTTCAATCGTTGGTGATTTTAATTTTGCG